CTATATTTTTTGCTGGTCAGCGGCATGAAATATTGGTATAATTAAATTGTTTTTAAGATTTCAGCAGGATCGCAGCACTTTTCAGATACCTTAATAGTTCCATAGTTGAAATGTAAAAGCTTACTTTGATTCATAGAATGTATGCCCTTGCACTAGATCGATTTATTAAGACCCCCCACAATACCCTCCGATGTACTTGCATACAAATATACGGCAGTGTCAATTAAATACGTAATGTTCAGAAAATATATTAATAAAATAGTGAAGAAGACATTAAATTTAAGTTATTGGCCCATAGAATATTTGTAAATCGTATTTCATTTAATTAGAGAATACATATTTTGTTGATAAAATATTACTTGATCTGTCTCTCGATGCATACAAACTAAGTCACGTTGTAAGAAATGACGTCATATTGACAAATCAGTGACTTGTTTATAACTTGTTATGTTGGGCTTAACTAACGTCGAAACAACACGCTGTAGTAAGTTTTTATGTAGTTTGATGATTTCTTACAGGATAAATTAGCAGATAAACTCATTTTGTGGTATTTTAATGAAATGTTGTATGACGTGTATTCTGAATGATGTCATAGTCAAGTTTTACCGTACAAATTAGGCTCCGCCTCCTTTTTGTAACCTTAACTGTGCTGCGTATCCATACACTGCAGATTGGTATTCTTTCCTCCTCATCTCACTTTTTTCAAATGAATGATGGTGCACTGTATGTTTTAAGTCAAAATCGTGATTCAAAATGATGGATTCCAATTTTTTTCTAATTATCTTTTAGTGTCGTTCAAAGAGGAGAAAGGGTTTGTTAATCTCACTGAGCGTAAAGAAACTATGAAAATGATATAAGAACGCTAATATTATCATAATACATGTAATCATCGTAGAATCGTGTGAATTAGCTCAAAATAACCAATTTAAATGGCGAAAGTTTAAATTTTATAGAATACTCAAACTACTTAATTCTGAGCGGTTTGTATAATACAAAAGGTAGCTAATCTATACAATTCTATCGAAGCACTGATTGGTTAATCACTAATCCTGACTGACAGCTCTAAAGTAATACCAAACGCGCCTTCGCTTGATGGGACTGCAACTAAATTTGGGGTTCGCACTCTGGGTTTCTTTGGGGTTACCCGGGCTCCGCTACGAGTGCGCTTTGGGTCCGCTCTTGGTTCACTTGGGGTCAGTCCTTGCAGGTATGATAAGGAAGCATATAAGTCACTTCTCGGGAAAATTAGACTTTTTGAAGAAAATCAAATTTGAAAAATTACTAAAAACCGCTGATAAACGTAAACTGTTATTAATTATTGCATACAAAAAAAGAGTGTCTATCACTACCACCACGACATCACGTGACTTCTATTATTTTTTTTCGTAATAAAAAAGCTAACAGAACAACAATACCCCGGAGTTTAATAATTTCTTTGAGTAAATAATATAGTTGAAAAATATCTATTTTGTCTAAAAAGTGTTGCCAGAATCCCACTGTCCTTTCAGTTAAATAATTATTCCACACATTCGCACGAAACCTTACCCTATCTTTTGAATTTTATACATATGAACCGAAATTTTTCGTAAAACCAATCTTTACTCGGGATTCTAGAAGCACTTTCCAAGTTTGTCATAAGGCCAACTTTCCATATGTACAAATCTTATGTTTTGAAATATCCAGCTTATTGTTGTTCTGTTGCATTATTTTTGTCACAAATGACAGTGGAAAGGCCGATACGTATATAGCTGATGGTTTTCAAAAGAGAATATAATCGATCAAAATAAATTAGCGTACCTTTTTAATGAACTGAAATTCATATGAATCAAAGAATATTCCCGGTATTTCTTTTTAAACTCCATTTTACGTATCTTTGTACATGACGTCTTAGCCAAATTTTCTTTACACGACATGATCAATTCCCAACTTATTTGATGTACACATGTGACGTCATCGGTGGTAGATTTTAATCAAAATAACAGATGCAGCATAGCAAAATAAAAACATTTTATCTTTTTTTTTATTTTTACACGTTTTTCTTCATTTTTCTAAAGTAAAATTGCATCTCTATATACCAGTATTACGAAACCTTGTGTTCAAAAATTGAAGTCATCTCGCCTACTATGACGTCATAATTTAGCACTGACTTAGTCAACGTAGAATATTTTGTATGCTTCCTTATTACCCCTGCCTAGCGGACCCCGAGCAAACCCAAAGAGGACTCAGAGAGCAAATCAGGAGTGCTCTCCTGGTTCGCTTTCTGATTCGATACGCAAAAGCACGCTCTACGTATAAACAATTTCTAAACCGAGATAAATCATTGACAAGTAAGTTGATGAAACAAGAATATCAGAAGTCTCGTTTAATGTCATCATTCCTTAAGTTCTATGGTCGATATAATGACCTTGTCAGCAAATACAATTTATCATAGAGTCAAATGCTGACTGACGTTTTTCATACTAATTGTTAGTCCATTACTTATACAATGGATTGCCGACGGATTTTTCCGTTATTTCCTGATCATGACATGAAGCAGACGGCGGGTTTGACCGGTCAGCAGGGGATGCTCGCTCCTCCATGGCACCTGATCCCACCTCTGATGTTTCGGAGGTCTGTGTTTCCTCTGCTCCTATTTTGTATTATTTTATGGACGTTGATATTGAATACGGTTGGTCAACTCCATATCCTTCTGTTAGTTTATGTTCGGTCGGTACTGTAAGTGGTCTAGTACAACGAGTCAAGTTAATTTACTTTACATTTAATACCAATGAAGATGTATTATGGATAATCAAGTGTTAGTGTAATCTGATTTAGCGAGATAAGTACCTTAAAACTAGATATATTCGGAGAAAATTAATATCAGTTTGATATATCTTTAAACTGTATACGTACTAACGAGCAAAGGATATACTTTTTACATATGTATGTATAAATTTCTGCAGAGTTTGGCCAAAGTGACTTAATTACATCGTCTGTTTGTCACGCGACATGTAAAAAATTAAAAATAAATATGTGTGATTACAAAGATCATACAAAATGTAACAATATTCAACTGAAAAATTAGTTGTGTTTTTTTAAAGACAGATATCTAAACATACAAAGTTTTGGGAGTAGCTTCATCATGCCCGGGAATTAAATAAAATTTAACCGTCTTTCGATTGCTTTTCCTTATGCACATAAAATAGGGTAAATCACTTATTAACTTAAGTAACAGCTCCAAACACTTTGCAAAATAGTCAGAACAAACATTACACATGTTTAAAAGCTCATTATGAATATTAAAGCTGGTATCGTTATTTTTTGTTGAGATTTTCGAGGGGCAGTGCTTGTCCTTGTTGTAATTTGTGTGTTTGTATGCCTTACTGCGGCTTTATATGAAGGATCTGTTTTTTTTTTTACAATTTAATAAAAACTATAAAATAATGCAAGATAATACATTTAGAAACTAATCGTTCTACGGAATCTCTACATAGGTCCATGTAAGTATGGGATTCCTGAACCAAAGAAAAAAAAAATATCTTTAAAAGGACACATGCATACTAATGAAGTTTACTTACAATCAAGAAGGCGTATAGGTTTTGCATAATCCCTTTCCACTCAAGAACTGATGATGAAAGCATGTTCTCGAGGCTTCTATATATATTCTTTGGATTTATGATTAAAATTATGTGAAGTAACATTTTATCTTCAAATAGAAAAATAACTGTATTAAGAATGCATTTAAACCATATGTTACATAGGTACTGATTTAATGATTTCATAAATAACCATTTTTAACGTAAATAGCCTTTCTAGTCGCTCTTACCAGATGTACAATCTGCCAGCGTTGAAATATACCCTCATGTAGCAAGCGGGTTTTCTGGTAAATCTGGATATAAGGTGACTTGTGGTGTATAATTACATAATTTTTTTTAATTTGAACGTTATATTTGTAATAATCGAAAGTATTTCTAAAACAATAATTACTTAAAGAGTGAAAATATGTTTAAAACGAAGTTATTTAAGAAAATGTCCCGTAATCATCATTAAATTTATCTTCCTTCTGAAAAAAAAGTTTAAGATAACCAAATTTATCTACTTCACACTGCTTTTATGTACATAGACTTAGTTCTTCATATTTTTGTCTACCTTGTTTCTTCTAAAGCCGAAGGGGAGTAATGTTAGACATTTTCTGTTTGAAAAAAAGTTGATTTTATTTTAAAATATAATTAGTTTTGTAATAAGACAGATTACTAGTTTAATAAAAATATTTGCATTTACAGAAAACAATTATTTTTTCCTGGACTCACATTATCAGCCCATTTGAAAATGTACAATGAAGAGAAATGTAAAGGTTTAGATTAATTCAAAACATTTTGAAATCTCGACTATTTTAAAGACTTCGGGGTCCTACACACACCAAGCTAATATTTTCATATTATCGAGCATTCCTACGCAGCACTTTAAAGGGTTACTATGAGAAATCAACGGAACATACAAGTGCAAAAACGGGATTTCTTTTTTTCTGAATTTATTTTTATTATTAACACTGCATGAAAAGTCGCGTTTACTATAATTTAATAAATTCGTTTACTCCAGTAAATTTCTTGTATTGAATTTAATTTATGTATAACGGTAAATTTTACATGAGATATATTGTGATATAATTAAATACAGTTTTCAAATAAGTATAATCATATTTAATGCAAAATACGTCGAGAATAATATAGTTAAATTGAGATAATTATACGTCCCGTTTAAGAATATCGACATGTAAAAGTAAATATGCTTATACTTAAAGTTTAAGTACATTTTTGGTATTTTGAATATGTCATAAATAATTCTTTATACCTAATGTAAACTTATGTTGAAACATTTTTGAAAAAAAAAAAAATTAGGCACCCTATTCATTTTAATTTATTTATTTCTCATTTTTATTTATTTAACCCTTATGTAGATTTTTCAAAACTGTGGAATATAACTTATTTTTTCTCTATCGACTACCACTGTAGTACATCGGGATCGAAGTCGGGCTCGAAAAGCAATTTATTTAAAAACAACACACCGCGCCGAAATTCAATTTTTTGGAGAGTTCCACGCAGCCATGTTGAACTTGATCATGATGTTGTACGGGAGGAAGGGGCGAAAGAGAGTTACTCGAAAAGGAGAAGCATGATAAACTTTGGATGCAATTTATGTTTTAACAGAAGATGAAGACATTTACGACCCTGTTTAGCGGTATGAACAATGTACAAAATTTTATCATGTGTCCTTGAATGAATAATTGCCTCTGCTACTGATAATGTTACTGTTCCTTAGTCTGGGCTGTACACATAAAATGCCTGGCAGTAAAAACGTTTGGGCAAGCGCTATTTACATTTTGTAATAATTATTTAACACTTTTAACCATCTAACTTAAAGATGGATTTTAACCAGAATTTTCTCGTTTGGGATTGGTTTCAGAATTTTTGTCACTAAAGTGTTCCTCTGTTCAGCATTTACAGAGAGTGTTGTACAATGTAATAAACTATTTATTTATTTCTTAATGCTTACTCAAGAATATATTGAGCACTTATTCTGATTATTTAAATAGTTGCAGTGTGGACTGTGCCTGAGACGATTCCCCATAACTCCGGCTATGTAGACAGCTTGTGAAAATGGTGAGAACCCTACCGCTCAAATTTTCTATTATCACAAATAAACAAACAATGTTTTATTAACTTGTATCTTTATGCATAAGAGTATAAAAAATATTGCAACAACTTGAAATGCTATATACCAAGTAGACAATACGAGGTTTATATTCTTATTTTCCTTATCCTAAAAATACAATAGCAATGGATTCTGAGCTATGCATAATTTTTTTACGTTAAATACGTAAGCATGAATTATTAAAAATAGCTATCACACTCTATGATGCACAATTATGCGTGCATTATTTACAGGAATCTAAATGCTCACAAGAAATGACAAAAGCAGTATGAAGATTAACACAACGGTAAGATTTCTTAAATTTTCTGATAAGATCAATAAAATCACATGAATTGATTTATTTTAGCTCACCTGAGCCATTTTAAGACCCGAGCGAGTTTTCTGTTCTGTGTCTGGTATTCGTCGGTCATCTATAAACTTTTCAAATTTTTACATTCATGGAAATTATTCCTAGTTTGAATAAAAATCCCTGCAAGATACATCTTTTCTTTCAGAAATTGTGCCAGAAAAGTTTGAAGTAGCTATGGCAATGATCAACATTGAACTTGCTGAGGCTCTCTTCCTGAAAGTGACTTGACCAGATATTTGGCTACCCAGTATGAGGTACGAACTAATCATTTGTTGTACAACTTATTGTGTATGAGATTGCCACCATTTACTGGAAGTTTGCATTTGTTGTCCACTTTAAAAACTTGCTATCTACAGTGTAAGTTGTTAATATATTTTACTTTATGTTAAATCACTTGTTCATTATCCCAATAACTTGCATGTTAAATGCTGTAGATGCTAACCTTTGCATTTAAGTTTACTTTTAAATTCCATGTGTTCCGAGTATGTACACCCATTTGATATCATGTTTTGTCGTCTCTAAATTTAATATAATACATATCATAATATGTACTAGATCACAAAGTTTGAGAATTTTATTATTGTATGAATGTTATCTACTTGCTCTATATCATAAATACATCTGTTTGTATATTTTTTCTACGAGATGCCATACCTGCTTTTAATTTTTCATATTTTTTTTTATCCATAGTATCTTTCTGCTACATTAAATAAAATATCGTGGAGGAACACTAAGAAAAGGGCTGCGCACCTCAACATATTCAAGGTCAAGCAGGTAAATACATTGGTAAATTGCTAAAAAAAAAAAAGATGGCAAAAAGTCACCAGTCCCCAATTTACATGTACTTCCACAAATTCTGCAGCTTGCTGCTGTGAAACTATATATATGTGTGTCTTAATATGATAAATGCTGTAAATGCTATTCTTTGCATTTTCCTAAACTTTGTAAATCTTCAAATTCCATGTGCTAGGACTACGGTACCATTATGTATGTTTCGTATCATATTTTGTCGTCTATAAATTTGATCTATACATATAATTATATGTTTTTTTATGCAATTCACTTAACTAGATGACACAGAGAATTTTTTTCATTGTGTAAAATGTTATCTTCTTGCTGTAGTCATGTTAGTCATAAGTATACCCTGTTTGTATATTTTTTCTCCTTTTTTGAATATTCTTTCTATGGAGAGCCACACCTGTTATTAATTTTCATATTTTGTTTATGCCAGCTTTTTACCATATCCATAGTATCTTTCTGCTTAATGAAAGAATTAGTGTGGAGGAGCAGAGAAAAGGGCACCTCAACATGTTCAAGGTCAAGCAGGTAAAATACTCCAAAAAAGATGGTGAAAAAAATCATTAGATCCAAATTTACACACTTTGAAATCTGTAGCTCGCTGGCCTGAAATTATAGCTAATTATCTGTCTTTATTACGCAGATTTGAAAAAAATGGCATATCTTTAGTAGTCTTCTGTAAATTTTTAATTAAGCAAAATTGAGCTGTGCTTCCTCTAGGTCAAATGATAATTTTAAAATCAACTCAGATTTTGTTTTTACTATTTAATATATGCAATTGCATAAATCCGGAAGCACACATATAATATTTATATATAGGCAAATGGGTATTTATTTTTATGTTTATTGTAGAAATTAGGAGCTAGGTGTGCTTCTCCAGAGCTGAAAACTTCTTGGCATGAAGAGAAGAAGAAGCAAGAAAAAGCAGTTTTAAATATTGATTACATCTTCATAGTACAAAAAATGATTCTAAAGATAATGTTATCTATGAAATTAGAAAGCTGAAGTTGCGTTCTGATGAATGTGAGAATGTCTTCAAAGAACAGGACACCAAAAGTGCCATTCTCAAATCAAAGCACTCTAAAAGGCAGAGCATAAGAAGAACTAGGACAAATAAAGAATCTAAAAGAGTCAAACCTATGGATGTATTAATTGAACAGAGATGGGCTATTAGAGATGAAATATTTGAGTTGCTACTGTTTTGCACAAATTCAAGTTAGATAAGAAAAATATACCTAGTGTTGTATTTTTGACAGTGAAAGTTTTTTTCTTATGCTTGATTACAGATTAAAACTGTTATGTATTTTATTGTTTAAACATTTATTGGTCTGCAATCACATACATTTTAATCTTGATTTATATATCACATATATGTATAAGTCTAACTTAAATAATAAGTGCATGGACATTATTGTGGAAAAAATAAGACAATCATGATCAAGGGTAGTCTGAAAGAGCTTTGCTGGCAGTAAGTTGCAGATTTTGATACCCAAGTAAGAGAAAGGTGGCGTCTCTGACCGATCCTTTTGCTGTTGCTTGTGGGCGAGTGAGGCTTCTCTGTCAGTGGCTTAGTGAGTCATAGATGTAAAAAATAGAATAGGCAAATGAGGTAGAGACATTTCTGAGTAAAAAAGGGGTAAATTGTGATTTTAATAAATATTACAATTGATATTGCAAGAGTAAATAAATGAGAATTGCAAGAGTAAAATATTAATTTATTTCCTTCCATTTGAAGTAACAGAGTTTATGAATTATGAGTTATGGAATTGTAATTAAGGCTGAAAAAATTGTTAAATATACTTTTACATATGTTTATACGGTACTTTTATATGTGCATGTTTCAGAACTCATTTTTGATATTTTAAAGCAAAGTTGAAAATATCACTATTGAAATGTTTTGCATTCCAATGTAACGTTGATTTAATGAGGATATGTTATATTACAATCATCAAGCAATAAACCTAGCATTTGGAACAGAAATGAGCTACATCTATTGTAAACAAATTTAAGCTGCTATTGTTTTGTGTAATTGTGATACTTTTTCCTTAATTTGAATTGACATAACCAAATGATATAAAGGATTTTTTTGGGTCTTGTATTTTTCACAGTCAACATTAAGTATTTTTCAAGTTGAACTTGGATAATTAGTGAATGGACATCTATTGTTGAAATACTTGGGAAACAATATAAGGGTGGTCTAAAAGAGCTTTGCTGGCAGTAAGTTGCAGATCTTGATACCCAAGCAAGAGAAAGGTGGTGTCTCTGACCGATCCTTTTGCTGTTGCTTGTGGGCGAGTGAGGCTTCTCTGTTAGTGGCTTAGTGTGTCTTATTAAAATGTACATGTAAAAAGAATGGACAACTTTTATTGGCAACTTTTATTCTTTTTATGCAAAGTATGATATAATTTATTGTGGGAAATTGAAATGCCATTTACAACCCATGCAGAAGTTTTAATAGGGGCAGTTTCAGTCAGATTTTGCAGTCTTTTGGAGTCCAGAATGACTACATTTTTTACCTGTTGTGTTTTGATTTATTGCGGATTTGAATTTTACATACAATACTATTCTTATATTATTTATAATTACTTCAGTATATTACTTACTACTAGTATGTAGAAATTTACTCCATTATAATTGAGCTACAATCATGATTGTAAATTTTTTAATTCTGACTTTTAGGCTTAAATTTGAAATATTTTGTACTTTGTTAGAACGCATTGTTTGTACACTATTGAGATAACATCTAATAAAATTGAATGAGAAATGGATTTGTGTAAGATTGTAAAATACTTGCCAAAAAACCCACAATTGTAAACCATACAAATTATTGATGGAATAAATGTAAAATAAAAATATTATGCAATAATATAATAATGTTAAATTTCATCAAATACAACCTTAAATCTTAATTATATGGGAAGGTTTAATCCGTACATTTTCATCACATATACAAGAGATTTAATATTAGTTTATGAAAGAATAAAATTTGCACGTATTAGTAAGTTTACAATTCTCCGTATATAACTTTATTTTTGGAAGTATTATAAAGTAAAGTGTGAATTTAACAAAAAATAATGAGGTAAAGATCTACGTTAAATTTTATTAAACGAGCAAATTTAATGTGACCGTAAAACTTAATTTTATGGCCATGTTTAATAATAATTATACGTTTTGTATATTAGAGGTATAATAATTGTTTACGGCAGACTAAAATCCGAACGTATTAGTAAGTTTACAATTTTCCAAACTTTATTAAATTTGTTCTTTTAATTTTTCATTAAACTCGTATTAAATGCTAATTATTTTCTAACATTTACGATCCCACAATATGTTATAATATGCATTTAAACATTAAATAATCGCAGCATTTAAATCACATTTAAGGTAAAATTAAACCCGACTTTTCATGCAGTGTAAGCTGTTCTATTATCACAGAACTTAAAGTACCTACAAAAAAAATAACATAATACAACCAACTCATGAACTGTATGCATCAACTGTATGAAATTTGGTCCCATGGATGGACAGTCACGTTATAAAGGCATAGTACTTGTACTGAATGTAGATCATTAACAAATTTCGATATTGTAGGGGCTTATACTAGTTGAACTTTAAAAATTCAAGCTATTTATTGTTTCTGCATACTTTGTTCTTTCTGGAAAATGATGCTGCTTTGAAAAGAATTCACGTTATAATAGACAAAATATTAAGTAAATGGGCCCATGTTGAAATATCTTTGACCTTTTCCAAATATTTCATGTACTTATAAAGTCATGCTCTTGATTTAAAGTAGCAGCACCTTTCAAGTAAAGAAAATTATATTTTATTTATATTTTAAAAATGCTAACTATTTATTTAGTGTATGCCCTTATGAAAGAATGACTTAATGAGGTATCTCGATTTAATATATACCTAACCTGTCCATAAAAACACGACAATGAAATACATTCTCTCAATAGTTACGGAATAATCGCACTAAACAAAGGAAATAAATTTGTATTTATAGCGTATTTAAAGCCTGTAAATAATGTTTTGTTTAATAATGTAATGCATTTTTTATTGTTACAATATTCCTCTATCGTCCTCTCACAGCACATGAAATACGTAATCTTTACCGAAATGCGGTCCTGTTGATAAGTTCATCAAGATCAGTGATTTGTTTATAACCAGCTATATGGGATCTGATAAGCAACTTTTTAATGCATTTATAAGTGTATTGTTGTTTATTATTCTAATACAGTTTAAAGTCGCAAATAATTTAATTTTTTGGTATAATGAGGAATACATAAAAGTCATGTTTTGTGTGATGTCACAGTGAAACTTCTTGTCATGTGTTAGGTTTGATCAAATAAACTACTCAAAGGTCTCTATATTTTAACTCATATAATGTTCCTCTGAGTAATAAACATGTGAGCATTTTGGAAAGTTATCTCCCTTTCTAAATGTGGACTCCCTTAAGGTAGGTACAGAAGATTGTAGCCTTTTTCACATTAACTTTAACTTGTTTACAATTGATATACTTTTTTGGCATACACAAAAATCACAGTAAGGTCGGAAAATACGTCCATTTTCAAATTTTCTCATTTTCTGCAAAATTTCATCAATTTACAGCACATATTGTTTCCGAAAACATAGACCAACAGCTTGCCTATCTAACAATTTCGTATATTTCATGCACTTGTATCAAATACTTCTTTTATATAAAAAACCTCAGATGGGGGAGCTTGTGTTGTATGTTTCATGTAATGAAAAGTATATCAAATTTGACCAAAAAAAAAAAAATATAGCAGTTGTGGTACTACTTTTTCATGAACCCCGTATCTAAAACCAGCTTTCCTTTTTCATTGGCTGGTCCCCTTTGCACCTTTGTATAATGACATTTTAGGACAAACAGGATTTTTCTATTTCAAATCATTTAATTAACATCTGCGATTGCCATTAATTAAACATGATCATTTATCTACTTTTCATAATAAGTAACACAGGTTCCAAATACAATGGTTCAACCAAAAGTGATGTCATAATTGCCTTAAATTTTTGATTCATAAAAATGTAAACAACTTGATGTGAAATAAAGTACTGCAACATGTTTTTCTAAAAAAAAACAATAATCTCCTTATAAAAACTATTTTTGAGGTTGTTTATTATTTCAAGGCACGTAAGATACCATAGGAAGACGGAAGTTACTTTTCGACATTCATTTTCAATTCATCTGGCAGGCGCATTCTTGTAACCTGTTACTTTATTTATCTGTGTTGCCAGTTTGTGTTTTTTTTTACTTAATTTAGATGAGCCTTGTCTAAATGTTGTTTATCAATTTATTTCTTTTTGTTAATCTTATCTGTCTTCAGATTCAAAAGAAGTGT